GGTTTGGGGCCACTACTACTGTAGACACCAGTTGAGTTGATGGCACCAAAAAGTCAATGGCAGATACAGGAATTTAAAACGGATAGGGCCCAGGTAGGGACTTTCAAAGATGGAGGGTATACAGTAGACTACCTCAGCCCCACCATGGTAACTACTGTATGGCACCTCTAGATGGCTGGAAATGGCACTCTCAAACTTTCTCCATTTTTAAATACTTTTCATTTCATTTCATTATTTATTTGGTCATTTACAACAACAACAAAAAAAGCTGAAATTTGGGGAGACCAGGGACAACCAGAGTGAATCAAATCACTGTAGCAAAGCCGGTTTACCCAACCCCAAATTCAGCAACACATTAAAACATCAAACATTACAGCGAATCAAAATACAAAGAAACCTTACGAAGAAAAGAGGATGGCCTTTCTAAAGCTTTTGAAAACTTTATGGGGGAGGGGGGGAAAGAGAAAGGAGAGAGAGATAGGGTGGATAATGAGCACAGCCCAGAATGCAAATTTGTTTTTTTTTAGGTTGTGGTAGATGCCTATTAAATCTGCTATACGTTAAGTCATCTAAAATTTACATTTTTTAATTTGAGCCTTAAAATATCTTTTTGGCTGTTTTCTTTGATTGCTAACTACCGTAAGTTCTTACAAAAAAATTTATTGAAAAAATATACCAAAAAAATTGTATGAGTAATAAGCCTCAACTCTGTTGGATACTGTATATCAAGGCCACCAAAACTGTAATGCAGTATCAGTACCATGGCGACAGAATAATCTCATACCAAGCTCTATGATCCCAGTTCTACTGAATTTCCTGTCACATGGAAATCTCATTTATGGGTCGATCACCTCACTGATTGAAAAAATCAGAGGGGTTAGACATCCGTCATGTCTTTGAAGAGTTATATAGGCCTAGAATCTGAACCACAAATATCAGTTTTTGAAATATTTCTTAGTGGATTCTATTTTATAAAATTTAACTTTCGTTCAAACTTTAAATCACCATCATATCATATGTTGATTTATACTATAAACCTGATGCTGAGTTGGTAATGTTAACTTCTTAACTCGATACCCCGGTATGCTGCTATAGACTACCCCTGTGGTGGATGACGAGAGTTGCTGGGACCCGTATACCAGGTGGTATAGACACGAAGGCACCCTAAGGGGCGATGAAATTCACTGAATGAGCTACTAGTCCACACATTAGGCGCTATGATCATCTTGTTTGATGGATACCACACTATACAAATCGACACTATTATTTATTTATTTGACCAAAAACAGAATACATAATCAAACAACAATAGTCAAGGGTAGTCTATAGTCAAGGGCAGCTTAAGCAAAAATTTACTATAACTCCGAGGAGTCAGATGCCCCTCAGTTACAAATAAGATAAAACACATACAAGAACAAAATAATACACAAATTATAAGATTGTTTATAAACAATACAAAAAATAATAAATAATATTTATTCTTTATAAATAATCCGCTCGATTAGAAATTTCTTATGCATTAAGCTGTTGAACCCCAGTCAACCCTAGAGTTGTAGTTTCTTCAGTCGTACTGTGAAATATCTGGTGAGCTTGTTTAGTACGAACATTGTTCACTCATTATAAAATGACAGAATATTGCTTGCTAATGTTAAGTAGCCTCCGTTACATTGAGTATACACATGATTAGTAATTTTTTAAGTCAAGGATAGATTATTAACATAACAGCAATTAATTATCCTTCAAATTATTTTTTTACCTTGTCATTGGCTGCTGTAACTCCTGTGGGGACACAAAGAATTTAACCTGGAGACTAAATCGATGGGGCGACTTCCCCCTCAGTTGCAGGCGAAGCGGGTTCCTTAGGTTCAGCCAGAGGAGTTCAGACTTCTTGCCACGGAACCGGAGGCCGAAGTAATCCTTCTCAATAATGCCAAGGTCATCACAAACCTGCAAACAAAAGATGTTAGCTTGATAAATCACATGAACAGGTATTCATTAACTCATCTCAATGTTATATAAATTTCTAGGATTAATGAAGTAGAAAAGTTGAACTTCAGTACTTGACAAGTAAAAACTTAAACAATCATACTACTGCCAAGTAATATCATAACACTTAAATTTCAACTGATTTTCTAACCTACTATAAAACATGGCAAGATTAAATTTATGCTACAGTAAATTTATGGTAACTGTACAATGTACCCCAGTTAGACACCATCAAGTATAGAGGTACAAAAATAGACTTCAAGTATGCAAACTTCAATAAGAATTCAATAACAATATTATTATAGTATACATGTATAGTATTAAAATGTTTGAGCCTGTCACTAGTGTTACATTTTTAGCTAAATAATAAACTAAATCATGTTGTGTATCTATCTAAGTTTTAAAACTAATCTAATTCTAAGGTAAAAATACTGCAAAAATTTTAGGCCCTAAAAGGTATTATTTTATTAACCTACACTTGTTTTATTTTTCTTTTTAAATAGTAAACCAACAAATCTATCTGTACCTTTTCTGCAGTAAGTGTTACAATGTAATACCTTCTATAATACATTGAAGTAATAATTATACTGACTGTAGAATATTAATAATTTTCTATGTTTGGAAAGTGTGTAAAAATAAGAACAAAATAACATTTTGAGCCTGAAATCAGCCGAAAAATAAGAACACTGAGCCTGGGCAAAATTTTACTGGTTCTTATTAAAAACAAAAAAAGTGTATCTAGGCTGAAAAAGTGATGAGGGAACGAGGCTTTTTTTTTATTTGTTATTCTGCTAACACCAAACATAACCCCTGGGTTACTTGCTGGTGCGTTAATATTCAAAGTAAAACATGATTGAGATAATACAAACAATATCTACTAACTATGTAATAAAGAAGAATTTAAAAAAAAATTTTTTCCAGTTCCATACTGTAGAAGACATGCATGTAAGGGTAATAAACTAATACTTTTTTTATTGGGCCTTATACTAAATGTACTGTATGATGTGGATAGGGCTTATACTTTTAAATTCTAAATGTATGAGCATTATATGAAAGCTAAATTCAATAAAACATGAATATTAAAACAGGAATTCAAGGTAGTGCAATGTAATTACTATAGTAATTGCAATGGGGAAAAAGCTATTAGCTAATTATTGTACAGTACAACATTTGCCTGAGATGACAGCAATTTGCAGAGGTAGAGAGAACCCCCCAGGCTAAAGGTTCAGCAATTCATGCCTTTAACAGGCATAATACTGATAAAGGAATAGTTATAATAAATTGCATGCTTCAATGCATTACGTTTTGAGGCTAAACAAAGACAATCTTTTATTTTTTAAAAACATTGGATAATTTATAATACAGTACGTGGAGTCTCCAAGTAGAAAAATGAAAATGTTGGACTTTGAATTGATCAATTGTTATTGGATATAATAACAATATTGCTAATTTTAATAACTGGAATCATTTTACTTCATTTTCCTTTGTCATTTACTGCATTTAGAATTTTTAGTCTTAAGTTTTGTTGACTTCGTATTATATATATTTACTTTTAATGGAAAAGGGTCACTAAGGGGATTGACATGTTCATTTTGTCCGTCATTTCGCTTTTATTGAGGCATCATTTAATATCATACTTTGATAAGGGTGGGTGTTGGATGGGGGTGGCCTTGTCAATTGCTTGAGTGATGTTTACTCAAAATTGTTTTTAAGACTTTGTTTTTTTGCCATTTATCTCATGTTTACTTTAATTTTTGGATGCACCTTTATCATGTAAAAAGTTTCAAAAGTGTAGTTTCCGAATAAATTATTATTATTTTATTCTATTATAACCTACAGTATTCTAGTACTACACAGTAGTAAAACATACTGAGTAATACTGTAGGCCTATTTCCTTCACTTCATATAGTAAAGTACTTCACATACATCTATTATTACAATGTAAACATTACTGAAAGCATTCTAGTGCAGTTACTGTTGATTCACACTATGAAACCTGGTTGTTGTCTGGAGAATCGTATCTTTATTATGGATGATGATGATGATGATGTTCGTGTTGGTGGAAAGGATGAATATGAATATATTTATGGTAATGATGAGGATGATGATTATGATGATGACAATGACAATGACGATGATGCTGATGACCAAAACAAAAATCATGGTGGTGATGGTGATGACGACAGCACTGGAATTTTGATTTATTAGATATAAGCAGAACAACATCACAAAACTGGAAAAACAGAATACAGAGAAACACAAATGAGAAAACAAGCACGTCATCAATGCCGATATCTGGGACAACACTCTAAATCCCAACACAGGATTTATTTCCAGAAGGGTCCCAATATACACAAAACAGACGACACTAAAAAAAAATAAAAAAATAAAAAAAACCAACTTGGAATCAAATATTTAAAAAATCAACAATGACTGTGAAGATGGGGACAATGAAATATGGATATCAGAATGATGGTAATAATGAAGGACATGAAGACACAGCGGCGGTGACAACAACAACAATGACTTATTTAATTTTCTACCAATATACAGTAGCCTAACCTTTGAAAGCATTACATCACACATACCAATATATAAGTAAGGTTAAACAATCCTATATATTTAAAATAACAGTATCTTATTGTAAAAAGTATTGTGATACTGTAGTAAAATATGTAAAATAATGACTCATTTAAAGGAAATTAAACAAAAATAAACAATGTAATATACTCCAAATAATGAATAATCAACTAATTACAGATAGCTTCACTTTAAAAATAGCTTTGATACTAATAAGTAAGTAGCATTTTGTGGACAGAAGGCCTATTGATATCAATATAAATTTGATGATTGTTTTTATAATCGAATGTTACAAAAGCAGTCAATATTCTATCATTGTTCTATGTCCTTCTACTTGTTATTTCAATCAGTAATGGTCAGCTGTTATGGATTTTCAAATTTGAATCTAAAACAAACACTATCATGATTCATTATTATTATTATAAATACAGTAGAATTATGGTAAGAAAAAATTATACTAACAGGGAATTAAAAAACATTCAATAATTCTTTCAAATTATCTTACAACTGTACTTCTGATATTATTACTTAAGTACTAGTAGCATTCACAATGATTTGTTTAATTTATTGCTTGCCAGCCCCTTTAGGTAAATTCTAGAGTGGCAAAAATGCAAAAAAAAAGCGAGGAAAAATAAAGAAAAAACCCTCAAATTACCTGTATATTATACATACTGTATTGCATCAATTTATTCAAGATGATACTGGTGGTATTTGGTTTTGCATGCCTTTTCCTACTGCATGCGAAAGGAAGAACCTTTTTGTTTAGTCTCATTAAAACTGTTTTGAATGCACATAATCAAAGTGATGAGTGCAGCTGATATGAAAGTACTGGCCAATAAATCCAACTGATATTAAGCCCACTTCTCCCCTGTGGAGATTACAGTAAATGTCTTTAATTTCCATGAAGCGCATTCCATTGTCAAAACTGAAGGTGTTAGACAAATCAGGGAGGTGATGATCTAAACCATTCATCAGGATCAATGTACCCATAAGACACTGGTGAAGTACTCTATTTGTATTAATACCAATTCACAGTTAATTAATCCTTAAACAAAAGCTCTAGATCTTAATGAACTTTGATGATAAAATAGGTGAGTTTAAGTGTAGGCCTACATAAGCCTGGTTCACGTCGAACTTTATCTAGATATACCCGTCTTGAAACATGATACGATAATCCCCTAATTGCGTTCGATGCCAAGTTAGAGCCAGATAAACAGCCAGCCAGTTTCAGGCCATTGATGTCACACGGTGGAAAGGCTTATTTAATAAAACATCTACTGTATTTTACGAACCTCTAGTACCAAGTGGTATTCGTTAAAAAAAAATTGTAAACTACTGTAGAGAAAGTGTGAGTTTCCACTACCTAACCTAGCCGACCAGTGCAGCTGGTCGGCTTTATTTTGTCATCGTAACCATGTGTGCTCATTTTAACGACTGGCGTTGGTGGTAGTTCGTTGAAACTGAATTAATAGCGACTATTATAGCAGAAATGGAAAAGATTGAATTGTCAATAAATAAATACAACAAATCTGATTTTATTATTAAGAAAAATATACATTATCACTTTGAAAAATGTACGCAATTGGACTTTTAACGTTATTACTTGGTCGATGATGCAAAGGTCACTGGTAATATCGACTATTCGTAAAACGGACGTTTGCTTGGTTTTTACCCATAATATTACAAGTAATTTCTGAAAACCAGACTAATGAGACTACTTCGATGCTGTTGCTAGCATTGTTGGAGTACGTTGTTGCCAGCCAGAAGATGATATGGTGGTACAATACAACAACGCGGGCTTAGATGCCTACGTTACGTAATCATGTCCTTGTAATCCGAGCCGACTTTACCGTTAAGCAAGTTAATTTACCGTTATTCTAGTAAAGTTAAGTCACTTAACTTAAGTCACTTAAGCCTTTTATCTAGCTATAATTGAGTGGTTCACGTCGAACTTTTAACTAGTTAACTGGATGTATATCTAGATAAAAGTTCGACGTGAACCAAGCTATAGTGCATTCTGTACCTTACCTGTACATTACTTAAATTGCAAGCACTATGGATTAAGCAACTGGAAAGTGTAATGTGTGTGTGTGCGTGTGTGTGTGTATGTGGGGGGGGGGTCCATGAGAGGTAGATTCTGTAATTATTCTGCTTTACTAATTTCATTAAGTTTCAATAAATTCCTTACAATAAAATTCACATTCACTAAAAATACTGTAAAAATTATACAGACAGATGGGAGCATACTGTAGACACGAGGTCCATCAACTAACACAATTAATAAATTGCTAATAAAAGTTCATTAAAAACAAACTTTGAAACCATACATTCTCTAGAGTCCAATCTACACTCAAAATCAAGATCTTGTTTTTGGCTAAAAA